CTGCTGCTCAGCATCTCATTAGGCTGATGTCTTGATATCAGCTGACTGAGTTCTCGCCTAGAACGTGGGGGCTTGTTCCAGATTCATCTAGGTTGCTAGCAGCCCCTTCCCTTTATAGGACTCAAGATTCTGTTTCCTGACTGGCTAGCTGTCAGGGGACACTCAAAATTTTTACACACACTATTTCAACCCACCACCCAGCCCACTTCCTCACATACTTACCCCACAGTCTCTCTCTCTCCCTACATCCCCATCGCCTCTCCCCACCACTACCCTACCAGGAAGGGTCTGACCTGTTTCTCACTAAGACAGCATCCCTGCTTACAGTCACTTCACCTGGAACCTTTATTACCTCCAAAACAATAATTCATCCACAGAAATAAGTTAATAAATTAGTTTTAAGAGCTGAGAGCATGTGTGTATATATTCGTGTGTGTGTGTGTGTGTGTGCGCGCGCGCACGCGTGGGCACACGTGTGCACGCATCTGTGTGTACATTCATCCATTCAGCTTTCTGGGACTCTAGGGCACCACCTTAGACTTTGCCTACAGAGTCAAAATACATGTTTAAAGCTTTCCAAAGGGTTCACATTCTTCCTACTGAAGGACACCGTGATCCTAACCTTAGTGTTTAAGACTCTGCACGGTCCAGCCTCTGTGCACACTCGCCCTCACTTGCTCTGTGCCCTGCCCAGAGAGCCACAGTGCTCCATTCGTCCCTTTGTGGCCTTGTATACTGTAGAGTCTGACCTCTGACCTTAGCTGATGTCCTTCTCTGTACTTGGAATGCCTTTCCTGTACATACTCACGAGAAAACTCTTTGTGAGACAGGACTAGTTTCCTTTCCTCTGGGTGCCCTTCCCTGAATTCACGACAAACATATATTGATCACCTACTAGGTTCTAGGCACTGGAAGAGATACAGCAATCCCCCTTCCTCTTCCTCCCCATCCCTCCCTCCATTTCTTCCTCACTTCCTTTCTCCTCCCCCTTTCCCATCCATCTCTGCGCTCTTCTTCCACTGGGAAGAGAGAAAATCACAGCCTTGAGACCTATCAGATCACAACAGCGCTATGAAGAGGGGAAAGTGACGTCATGAGACAGGGAAAGTGACGTCATGATGTAGTTGTTACCCTGTGTGCCATGAACTCAGAGTCTGTCTGTGATGGGCAGCTGAGCGGAGATGTGAAGGAAGGGAGGGGGCAAGCACTACAAAAAAGGTCATTGCCCTTGCTGTCTCTTTTGTCCCCGTGATAGCCGGATGAATGGATGAATGAACAACAACAAAGCTCTACAGGCGAAACCGCCAGGAAGTACAAGGGCCCTGTGGTAAGGAAGTCCCTTGGCGCTCAGTTAATTTGTGCCTGGTCTCATAGAAACGTTGGACTTTTTTTTCTGGGAAGAATGCTATTCATTGGAAATTGAGAAGGAAGAAAAGTGGCAGCGGAGGTTCAGTTCCTGGGTAGGTTCACTGCCAAGCAAAGCAGGGTGTCAAGGACCAGGAGAACAGACAGGTTTCATGTCAAGGTGTAAGTCTCAAATATCCCCTAAGCCCAAACAGGGACTCTAAAGCAATGGAAGCATAGCCAGTGGGATAGCCTGCACTCACCGATGAGTTCAAAGAGATGTGGGCAGCCTTGACACCTTCCCAGCTCTAGCTGCTACCTACGTTCTCATCCTCAAGACAATTTTACACTTCGAACCTGTATTGCCATGCTCTTATTTCTTTGAAAATCATGCCGTACAGTCCTGTCTTCTGGGGACGATTTCATGTTTTCCTGGCGTGGTCAGGGAATCAAATGGGTAGAGCAATTGCAGAAAGGAAATTAAAGCAATGTGGCTTGGTCTTTTGGTGGGGATTTGGTGGGGTTTTGGTGGGTTTTCTGACTATAAAGACAAGAAGTAAGACTGTCAAGGGCACTTGACAGAGCGTGTTTGTCTGGAGGCTTGGGTTGGTCTAGCGGCAGGAGGGCGCGTAAGCCAACATGCTCTTTTGCTACAACTCCACAGACCAATAAACACACCAGTTGGTCTTCTCTGACCTTTTCTCTTCCCGATGTCAACTTTGCTTTTCTTGCTTTGCTATGTAGCCTTTTCTGCTGACTCAAAGTTTCTACCGCCTCAAAACTTTGGTTTGTCGTGCGCCTAAGAACCCGGCTTCGTGGTGGCTCTTCGGGTTCATTAGCTCGTGTGCTCTGTCTGACTTGATTCACGTTTAAGAGAGAAAATGCAGCTTTCCCAGTTCATCTTTTTTTTTCTTTTTGAATACCTATAAACTACGGGATTAGTGTGGCTCAGCTGTCCACCATTAGCCTAATTACCAGAGCCAGGAGGAGGGGAAAAAAGAAAAGAGATTGTAGGGTTACAGTGTGGCTACTCAAATGCCAGGGTTAAGCGTGGCAAAGGTTCCTACAAAGGATGGAGTCGGGGAGCAAACACTAACTGACATCTCTAATCTGGGGAATGAGATGTGTCACTGAAGGGGAGTTGAGAGTTACCCGAGAAGCTTAACTATCTGCCAGTATTAAAGACCAAAAGTCAAGAGCAGTTTGTGAGGGGAAAATGGAACCAGTACTTGGGAGCCCAGCAGAGAGCAGATTGCAGTAGGAGGAGGCAGTGGGCAGTTGGGAAAAGAGTCATAAGGAATATCTCAGATGGTGACAGAGCTGTTTCTTCACAGACGTTACACCTGCCATTCCTACTTTCTTGGGCAATGGGCCACGTCGGGCAAGTTCTCGGGGCTGTATACGCACAGAAAGCTGTGTTAGACGGTGCGGAGCTAAGACTGAAGGGAAGTTGGGAGCTTATCGTGTGCTCTAATGACCTGTTCCTTTTCACTGAAGGCTCGTTGAGGGTCAGGCAACACCATAGACGGTGGGAATGCAGCCTTCCTTCCTCCTCTGTGAACGTCATGTCTCCGTCCCATTACATCCCCCCCAAAGCACTTTTCACTTTCTGGTTGGTTGGTTTGTTTGTTTTGTTTTGTTTTGAGACAGGGTGTCTCTGCTGCGTAGCCCCAGCTGTCCTGGAACTCACTCTGTAGAGTCTGACCTTGAACTCAGAGATCCCCCTCCCCCGCCTGTCTCCCTAGTGCTGGAATGAATGACACACACCACCATGCCCAGTGTACTTTTCCCATTCTGAAATCCTACCTCTTCCCTACCTGTTTTTTTCTTTTTTTGTTTTGTTTTGTTTTAACTTTACTTTATCCACGACCATGAAATCTATGGTCCACGAGTGCAGAAATCTTCTGTCTTGGTTTCACCTAGTGTTGAATTTGCAACATTTAGAAGGTACCTTGTTTCATAAATACTTATGGGATATTCTGGGTAGTGTTGTGCCAACTCGACACAAGTGTGAGCCACTGGAGAGGAGGGTCCCTGAATTGAGAAAATACCTCCGTAAGGTCAGGGTGTAGGCAAGCCTATAGAGCATTTTCATAAGTAGTGATTGACAGGGGGGAGCACAGCCCATTGTGTGTGGGGGATTCTATCCCTGGACACCATGGCCTCTGTAGCAGTTCCTGACTCTGGGTTCCTGCCCTGTTTGAGTTCCTGTCCTGACTTCCTTCAGGGATGACTGTTGCTTTTTGTCACCGTGTTTCATCCCAGCAGCAGTGACCTTGACTAGGACACTGGATAAGTGAATGTTGTCGTTCATATGTCATTTGCACAGGAAGGAAGAAAGAACTCACTCTTGGGGCCTAAGCGTGTCTCTGGAGTTCTGATTTGCCCTCTTTAATTTGGAGTAAATACGTCATGTTTTCAACATGTTTACTGATATGTTAGTCGGGGCAGGCTGCACGGTGCCACAGTAACCCATGATCCCCTAAGATCTGAGTGCCTCAACTGGACAGTGGACACAGTCACTCAGAAGCCTAAACTGGCGGAGGTGTTGCCAGCCTCCTCTGACGTCACTGGCTCAGCATGAGACGTCAGAGCTTGAGGTCTTAGGGAAAGATGCAATGCTAGCCGTAATGACCACCGGGTTTCCTTCCAGCATCTTTACCGAGGCCATTACGACGTCAAGGGAGGCTGAGAAGGCTCCAGGGTATCCAGCAACGAAAGGAGGAGCAGCTGTGGTAAGCACACTGGTCTTGCTCCCACCCAGCGACTGGAGTAGGCTTTGAGCCAAACTGCGGAGAAAGCCTAGAGAATGCAGCAGTGACTTTTTAGGTTAAGTTGGATTTAGCAAAGCTTGAAATAGACTTAGAACGGAATAATGATAATTACATGACTCTTACTGCGTGCGTGTGAGTAGCACTTAAAGTGTTATTTTGTTTTTCAGTAAATTAGATGGAAAAAATAACGGGGGGGGCTGGACGTGGTCACGGGCCCATTCGAGTGATTCATTCGGGACTTTGGCCGGCTGCGAGGTCTGTGTCCACACCAGCACCTCTCCATGCTCGGTCTGGGTCTGTTTTCCTTCTTTAAACGTGAAGACGCTCCAGCAGAATGCACCTCTCAGAGCAGAGATGTCCGAATAAGCCCACCTCTCAGGCGCCATTACGTAGGAGAAGGAAAGGCTCCCTGCCTTGGAAGACAGTGAACCGTGGCGTTTTCTCCTGCTGTGGAGCGAATTCCACCGTAGCAGCTCAGTCACTGACCTCACTCAGGTTTGGCAGAAGGCGTTGGGTGGAGGGTCAGGCCCAGTTTTCCTAAATCACCCTGATCCACCTGAGAAATACGTGAACAGCCACTGCGTTTGTCCATCTTCTGCTCCTCCCAAGTGTAAAAGATTCCCATTTCTGGATGGACTAGTTGATACTCCGATTCAGGCAGATGAGAGGAACAAAGTATGAGGCACTAGCTTCCACTGTTAAGCTATACCCTCATTGTAACTAACTTTATAAGGTGTAAAAAATGCACATGTCTCAACTCAGAAAGCGCTGACAAATGTCTTCATTCATCCCTGCCTATTCCGTGTGAGGCTGAGTGGAGGATGCCAGGGACGAACCGGCCAGCAGGATTTCTGTCCCCACAGAGGGAATCCAAAACCCTTGTGAAAACAAAACCTTTCCAGCCACTTTATTTGCACACCCCCACCCCACCCACATTTTTTAAACTAGAAGTCGGCGCAGCTGAGCAGAACTCCCCAGCCGCGCTGGGTGTCACCGGTTTCCAGATCACAGCCCTTCGAGGTCAGGACACGCACAGAACGTCAGCATGCAGACGGTATAGATGACAGAAAGCAAAGGCACGTCCACGTGTATGACGGCGATGTCCCCTGACTCAACACCAAATCCATCCCCTTCAAGTGTGCCGGCAGCACACACCAAGAGTAACCATGGCAGCGAATCGGCTCAACCTGCTTGCTACAAGTTTACATATTAAGCTGAATTCCCAGATGGTGAGGAAACTGGCGTTACCCAGATTCTAAGTTTCTGCCAAAACAAATAGACTTCAGAGGCCGAAGTCAGAGCTGTCAGTCAAAGAGCAGAGGGCGTTTCCTGCTGAAAGGTCAGTGAGCTAGCTCTTCCTTCCTGTGGGTTCTGTCCTCACGCTTCTTGCTGTACCTGCCGTGATTGGTGGCTGGCACATGAAATTCTTGTTTTCAGGTCAAGCAGAGGCCAGGTAGAGTTAACGAAAGAATGGGGTGGATTAGTTTCGCCTGTCTCTTCTTTCTCCTGTCCACCCGGGCAGGAGTAATGTGACAGCTACACTCCAGCATCAAAACGGGAAGTGAAGGGGAAGTGTCATGTTTGTGTTGTTAACCGTCTCTGAAAGCTGCGCTCAGGAAGAGTCACTGAAATGACACGGTGAGGACCCAGTTGTTAGGGGCAAAAAAACTAAGCACAAGGCTAAAAGTGCGTTTGACTGGAAAAGGCATGTGAATACCAGTTTTAGAACAGGCAACAGTGCCTCCCTCATTTCCTGAGTTTCATAGCTGAATTGCGGTGGCGGAGGGAGGGGGCACTTTCCAAGCCTCAGTTACTGTCTTCCATCAAGAGCATCCATCCTTGACAGACCTTTCTGTGGTGCAGAAGTCATCTTTAAGATTCTCCATTACATCCAGGGACACCAAAGGAACATTTCCTGCCCATCCAGAACACAGCAGCTTGGAGACCTTTGAATAACGGGTTGAGGTGGTGCATTTCCTGGTGGTACAGCTGTCTTTGTGCCTTTCCCAGTGTGGGATAGTAATGTGCTTCCTGCCTGCAGCCTGAACAGAGGTGCATGGAGGTGCATGGAAGTGCATGGAGGTGCATGGAGGTGCATGGAGGTGTATGGAGGTGCTCAGCTTCTCCCGCCAGAATTTTCAAGACCTCAGTTGTCCACATTGTGAAGGCGGGAGTGGACTCCTGGGAGCAGCAACTGGTCTGCCTGCAACCTCTACACCCTCTCAGCAGCCCAGCCTGCGGATAGGACACCAGCACGGAGTGCGGGCTTGACTGTGGTCTGAAAGACACCGCTATTGCTTCTCCTAAGGCTGATTAATTACTTAATTTGTACCTGGCAAGTTTATGCAACACTGTAAGCAGCAGGAAGCGTTTGGCCAGCAGGGATTTTCAGAGAAGGGCTGGTTTGTGCAACAATGTAATGAAATAAGCCCGCAAAGAGAAACGTTTTTGCTCTTCTTACTCCTTGGTTCTGCATTTCCTTCCTAGCTGAGAAAAGCCTTTTCTTAGGGATTGACCCTGACAGCTGATGTGGGGAGTGGATTCCAGGGTTGCCTTTTGACCTGCAAAAATGGCCTCCCAGGATCAAATCTAGTCAGTTTCCCAAATCTTGTGACATCCATTTTGGAACCACAGAAACTTAAGACTCAAGGGAAATGCCCTCCAGGGCTGAAATCCTCTGCTTCTGGATAAAGCCACGCTGGAGCATTTATCATGGGTCAGGTCAGGACCAGTTCGTGCCAGTCCAACACTGAAAAGTCAGCAGCCACATAAAATGTGTCCAAAGTGTCCTCAGTGCTCGCCAGTCAATCCTCGTGTGAACCCATCAACCCCAGAGTCTGTGATATCCCACAGGTTAAATCAAGACAGTATTTGATAGAGGGACTCAAATTCAGTATCTAAAAATTAAACAGAGCAAAAATTGATAGCGAACCAAATTGTCTTTTCTCTCTGTGGTGTACGTACAATGATAACCTTGACTCTTTGAGGAAGAGACCCGAATTTTGATGGCGAAGAGGTGTTAGTCCTTGTTCTAGATGCATTCTGAATTGGTAGTGATTTAGGGACGAAACTATTTTATGGGTGTGGGTTCACCCACTATTACCTAACACTTCTATTTTTTTTTAAACCTCAGTTGGGATGCACATTCCAACTGAGAAGTTTCCAGTAAACTCGAATATTTACAATTTGTTGTGTGCTCTACTCCCTGGGATGTTTTTTCTTGCTAATGACACAACTGTCATGCTGCCTAGAATATTCTACATGGACACAGAACAATATAGAACTCTGAAATGTGGTTAGTGTTGTTTGCTCTTATTTGGAGTTAATAAAACCGATTTCAAATGCCATATAATAAATTTATCAATTGTTTTCTTCATCTTAAAGAGTTGGCGTCAATGCTGGTAAACAATATGGTCTTTGGAATCAAACCATTTCTAATTCCTGTTTTGTAATGATTTATAGTTGATTTTAATGAACTCACACCAATTTTTTAAATACCAGTTTTTTAATCTCAGTAGATATTAGTCACATATACTTCATAAGCTTTTATCCAACACAGAATCTATTCTAAAATTAGCCAGTAAGAAAAATTACCTGGAATTATCTGTGACTACTGGAGGCAGAGGCAGGAGGATCTTTTTATGAGTTCAAGGCCAGGCTGGTCTACACAGCAAATTCCAAGTCAGTCAGGTCTGCAAACTGAGACCCCATCTTTACAATAAGTAAATAGAAGATGACAGGTAGATAAATAGATTGTCAGATAGATGATGTACTCTTCGGGTCACGCTTTTTAATAAGTAAAATGGACCAGCTGGTTTATCAGTTGAAAACTAAATGTAGCACCCGACAGTCCCTCCACAGATGCTCCTTAGGGCTCCATCAGAGCTGTCACATCTCTCTCTGTTCTAGGTTCCGTTCAGAGCATCTTCTCTTGACCAGAAAGCTCAGCTGATCAGGATTCACAGCCACAAGACACAAATCCTGTTTCTGACCACACAAACAGGGTCAAAATACATACCTGCAATGTCAGAAATGGGGTAAAGTCTTCAAAGCAGACAATATCGGGGCAACCATTATTATTATTATTTTTTTTGCCATGTTATACTTGATATTAAAACAAGGAAGCTCTCCTTAGCCTCAGCATCCCTGAGGTATACAGTAGGTAATGGGGAAGAGCAAGACTCCAGCTTGAGTCGGATCCAGGGTGGAATGCTCCAGTGTGCCCCTTCTCAGTTTCAGTCATGGGGTTGGACCTCTCTGTCATCTCCTACCTAAACACTCCTTTTTTGTTTTTAAAGTAAATTAGCTATTTATTCAATCTCTTTTCATGTCAAATGTTCTGGGCATATTCTACTATAATCATTATATCCTCTGAAACAGGGAAAATTGGATATCAAGTTATATTCCATATCAACTGATTATCTAAAAGTGTAAAATGAAAAAAATGATTTATCATTTCCTTCTAACATTTCTAATAACTCAGCAGAGGTGTGAGACACAAAATGTTAGTAAAACATGACCCAGGAAGAGCAGTAATGCATTTCTCATGTAAGTTTATGTGACATAATCTGTTAATATACAAAGCAACAAACTTTTAAAGTGTTCTATTCACTGAGATTCTGCCATAGCTTTACATAACAAGAGACAACATAGCAGGCCTGCTTCTCAACATCAGTCTCAGGTTCAATATGAAGCTGTTAGAAACAAAATCAGGAAGCCCTGCTTTTTACATGCTAAATGGATTGTAAGAGTGCCATTATACACAGTAATGAACTTAAGATAGCTACAAGACTGAGTTAAAGGCACAGCATTGCAGTCCAAACAAAATCATACAAAAAGTAACTATCGCTGGCTACATAAAAATCTCCTGACTGGATAAAACTTGCATATAACGTGCACTTTAGACCCGTTAGCTCTCAAGTTCAGAGTTCCACTGTCCACGAAACAATTCCTCTCCAAAGTCAGCACATCGTCAAAATTAATTCAAATGACGTAACACAATCTAACCCTAAAAAAACATTCAGTTATTTCTGGCGTGAAGGTAAATTCCAGCTTTGGGGGCTTTCTCGTGCTGCAAAGGGCTGGTTATCTCTGGCTCCTTCAAAGCAGCGTGCAACAGATTCTGTGTCTGTCGTTAACCTCCGTCAAGGGCAGGACTGATGGTGCCCAGCTCTGACCTCCCAGGAAGCATGGCCACTGGAGATGTGTGAGATCAAAGACATTCTGTTCTGGTAGCTAAACATAACAAACCATCCCCCACCCCTTTCAGAGCTCCTTCCCTGAGTAAATCAAAGTATACATGGGAGGGAAATAAACTACACTTATCTACAGAGGAAGGATTTTGACTATGGATGTAATCCCTACTTGGGAAATTCTTACTAGACTCATTTTATTATTTCTGATCACATCTTAAAGATGCAGCCAAATTCAGTTTCTGTTGATTTATCATTAAGCACTTCTAGTAGGACAGACTAGCTTTGTTCCAAATGTCTTAACCGCTAGTATGACTGCAAAGTATCCACCAGGGTCACCAAACACTGGACGAGGAAAAGGTGTCCAGGCAGCAGTAGGCAGCAGTCATGACCTTTCAGACAGCACTGACAGGATTGTGTCTGTGCACTGTGGCTCCATTCGGCACATCATCAGCCAACCGGTCCCACTTAATCCTAGCTATGCAGGAACTTTTTAGGCAGGTAGGGGAGACCTGCATTGTATGGAATTGATGTTAGCTGTTAAGTTTCTTAAAAATTGTACAGTAATTCTGAGAAGGCTTTTGACTAACACAAAAGAGGGGGAGCAGGCGTCTATCCTTGATGGTGCTCTGTCCAAAGATGTTTCTCTTTCCACACTTTCTGCATCCAAGAGTCCATGAAAGGAGGATGTGAATATCAGCCAAAATTACTTACTTTGGAAACAGAAGGTGCCCTGAAGGTGGGAGCACCATTAGGCTTATTCCCTTTTGTAAAAGTTGTGTTGGAGTATAAAGAATTTATGGCGATTTTCACTTCTCACTATTTTAGCATTTTATACACACACACACACACACACACACACAAACACACACACACAAACACACACACACAAATACATTTGCAAGAACAAGTGTCTTGGACAAGTGGGAATATCACAGAGATCCCAAAGGAGGGAGGGCTGTTCTGCCAAATGAGAACATAGAAGGATTTTAATGTACAACATCCGATGGAAACTACAGCCATGTTTCATTGTGAATGGGAAACTGATCAACTTAGAAAGGGAAGTGAGGAGTGGATGCTCGGAGGCTGGGAGAGGTCGGTTTGCTCTAGGCTGAGAGAAGAGCAGAAGCAGAGGTTCTGAGGAAGGACACTGGAAGGAGGAACACGGTGCAGCATCGTTCAGGACTAAGAGGAAGAATCTGACCAACAATAGCCCAGAGGCCAAGATGAAGCTTTATTCTGCATGGGAAAGAGTGGGAAACTTCTGAAGTGTTTGGTTTGAGCAGGAAGAAAATAGAACACCACCGTGGGAGGATCACAACTTGCTTTATTTTTAAAAAGATCAGGCATACTGTGGAGAACAGATTTACACGGAGCTATAATACAGATTCTTCTACAGCTCAAGAGATGTATAAGAGGGCAGGCAGCTAGAAGTGGAGGCTGCCACTTCTGTGAAGCTTTCTTTCCAGTGTGTTCCTTCAGAACCTGACTTGCTCACTGGACCCACCTTGCTCCCTGGGCATCATCATCATCACCTCCGCTTTGAGAATGAGGAAGTGTATGGAAGGCCTGGAAATATAGGATGTGTATTAAATTCCTTCACACAGGAGATGGTAGAATCGTGTAGGGGCAGGGAGGAGCGGGGAGAAGATGGGACCAAGACAGAATAAACTATAAATAAGCAGAATGTGCGTGCGGGAGACAGCAGGAAATTTTGACGGTAGCAGAAACTTGAGCGAGGAAAGTGGGGTAAATCCACCCAAACGCAGCACATTTACAGATAAAAATGCTGTATTTAAAACAAATGGTGGTGTTTGCGCTATTTGATGCTGTTTGTCTCATCCTACACAGAGCACCGCTCTGCACCTGACTGTGCTCACTCCGTGTGTTTCTCTTCTCCTATCATCCTGTCCAGGGTTTGTTCTGCTTCCTCTACTGTCCTAGCACATAGGAACCTGTCCATGGCCATTCCTACCAACTTCCCTCCAACCCCGGTGTGCATTCTGTTGATTCTAATGGTCTGACTAACCACGAGTTACCGATGGGGTTGACTCCTTCCGAGGGGTCCCTCCTCGGCTAGTACCCAGTTGTCTTTCCCCTGCTGTTTTACAGTCTCCTCTCTATCCATACGTAAGTTGAAATCTCTTTCTATAAAGATAATAGTCAAATTGGATTAGGATTCACCCTAACGATCTCATTTGACTTAATTAACTCTTTAAAATTTCCAGTTTCCAGCCAGGCATGGTGACACATGCCTTTAATCCTAGCACTGGGGAGACAGAGATAGGCAGATCTCTGTGAGTTTGAGAATAGTCTGGTCTACAGAGCAAGTTTCAGGATAGCCAGGGCTATTACATAGAGAAACCCATCTTTAAAAAAAAAAAAAAAAGAATCAGCTTCTAAACATAGAACTGAGGCAATTTGAGGACTTCATCGTAGGAATTTGGTGGGTGGCACAATCCAACCACAGCACGTTTTTCCCCATCCATAACCATCCTCAATTATCTACATTCCTCCAAGTCATCCGCACCCAAAGGTACAGGTGACAGCACTCTACATCCTCGCCTCCTTCTTCTTCCTCCTCCCAGAACAGTTTTCACCAGGATTTTTTTGTAGGTGGAGTTTTCCTGTTCCCACCACCTGCTTCCAAATAACCAACATGGATACTTAAGATTACTTATAAATGCTTGGCGATAGCTCAGACTTGTTACTAGCTAACTCTTACTTTTTAAACTAACCCATATTCCTTATTTATGCTCTGCCACATGGCGGTACCTTATTAGCATGGCACGGTCATCGCCTGCTCCCTCTGCATCTGCTGTGAGTCCAGATTCCACCCTTCTTCCTCCCAGCATTCTCTCTGGGTCAGGCCGCCTCGACCAATTTCTTCCTGCCCAGCTCTTTGGGCAGTCAGCTTTTTATTAACGATGACAGCAATACACACAGTGTCCCAAGGTTGTTCCACGGCACTTCCTAGCCTCATTCTCCTGCTGAGGATGAAGTTGAACTCCAGCGACCTATGGGAACTAGAGAGAACGGTCTCTTCCCCTGTGCTGTTTTCCCACGCTTCAATAGATGACTTCCTGTCTTCATTTCTCTTTTCGCTTTCCTGAACTACTAGAGAATTCGGGTTCACACCTTAGAAATAAATGGGCTGAGATTTAAGTAACATATGCTTTGTTTTGACATTCTGAAGAGCTATGCCATTTATATGCCTCTCTTTGGGGATATATCAGAGATTGTTTATTGCTTTAGGCATATTGCTTTATTGGGCCTTCTAAAAAAATTATACACAATGAAACCCCGAAGAGGTTTTGTATCAACCAAGTGTCAAAGCCAGTTTTAAGGGCAGTGCACTTTTTGCCGTGCCATAGGTTTCTCACTTACAAGGCCCTTAGGGATAGACAAACTTAGTCTGTAAGCGTTGACTATTTAAAGATTGTTCTTACTGGTTAACATGCTTCATTACTTCTATAAAATATTTTAAATATTTGTTTATTTTATAAATACTCTAATTGTATAAGTTCTGATAGATTTGTATTTAAAACTGTGATCAGTGAGTAGTGAATATTTTAAAACTTTGAAGTAAACATACCTACTTATAATACTAGTAAACATCTAAATAATCTATCTGTACCTTTCATAATCTTTATTATTTTCATAAGTTTTGCTCAGATATTTTAAGAAACTGCTTTATGACACAGTTTATAAATAGATATGTAAAAACCCTTCACTAAACTTAGCACAGAAGTAAGTTCCAGCACCTAGAGAATCATTAATGATTGACAGCTGGGGCGGAAAGCTATGCATTAGGCTATAATGGAAACTCATAAATAGCTTCTGTTTTATGCCACAAAAGCTCCAAGGGAGAGTTACAACTAAGCGTCTCTCATTAGAATAGAAACAGGAGCAGTATTGTTTCAGTGTTGGTTTGTCTGCTAAGCTGAGTTTCTATTTAAAGCCTCCAAATAAGGTTGTGATGCCACACCCTTTTACTCTGGGGAAACTGAGGCTTAGCAAGGCTCGGCAGCTCACTGGTTATGTGACTTAGTAATAGGCTGGAGCTGGAGTTTGGCCGAATGTGTGTGATTCCGTGCTCACCATTTCCACCGTGGCCCAAGCTAAGGAAATTATAGGCTAGAGACACAGTCAGTAGTTACTCATTGAAACCAGGGACAGCCTGGGCACAGCAAACGCTCGAAACCAATGCAGCCATAAAGAGGATGTTGGTCATCTGACACTGAGTTACTTAACCTCTGTGGCCCTTAGTGTCTGCATCTGTAAACGTGAGGTTGATATGGGACGTGTGTATGTGGGGGGGGGGGGGAGTTGCTGTTCAAAAGGAAAAAAGGTGGTGTATGTGTGTTGTAATATATATACACACACCCATCACATACACTATATACAAGAGGCAGCTCGGTAAGTCAGCCAGGCCCTTTTATACAGCTGTAAGCCGACTGTGAATAACGAGAACTGTAAACATGTTGATGTCTTTGGCCCTGGAGTTCTATTTTTGGAGACATAATCTAAAGAAATGATTCAAAGCACAAATAAAAAAGAGTAGTTTTAATCACAGGAGAAAATAGTAAAAATTTACCCAAAGACCTCACTTGTGTCCCGGTTTGCATCATGGATGGGGCGTTGTGTTTTTACTACATAGTGGCAATCCAGACTACATCAAACTGCTGGAAATATACAATGCAGGATGGGAAGAAGGCCCGCGGGTCTGCTACAATGCAGTGTGCTTGCTAAACACACATGCATTTGGATCAAGGCTGGCTGGAAGCTCACCTATGGGAGGAGGTCCTAGTAGTAAGGTCTTTTCCAAGCAGCGCCTACTTTAATGTCGTAGGTGTTGATAGCTTGGTGGTAAGTTCAGGCCTTAGGAAAGTTTCACAAAGCATGGTGGACGAATGAGGACATTTCAATATTCACTGTAAAGCACTCAGGAAAGGGAAATTTATATGCAAAAATTTCGGGGTGCAGGTGGGGAGGTGGGCGAGGACTGAGGGAGATACAAAAAAATGCATAATATTTACCTGGGAAACCTAAAAGTTGAGATGCTCGCCACACTGACCGCCCCCCTCCTGCTCCGACCCTGTCTGCTCAGAATCCTGTGATAATAATAACCAAAGAGCGAGGAGGCGAGCCTCGCAGCAGGCACAGTTCACTAAAGTTCAGCCAGACTGCACTCATGTGGAGTAAAAGGGAGGAAGTCTAGTCAACCCCGGGTGAGTCAACCGGTAGCCGCCCTCCACCCTACCCTCCTCCTTTCCCAAGGACGCTTCACTCTGTGTCTGTGTGCTGCTTGACCCTTCCAAGGAAGGGACGGTGGCGGCCTGGGTGGGGCAAGTCCAAAGCCACTTAGTCCTTCAACAGCCAGGTTGGGGGAGAGGCAGCTAGAGCAGGGGCCTGGGCCGTGACAGCTATCTGCCTCACATCTAGATTCAGGGATGTCTCCCTGCTCTTTTTCCACAGGTTATTTGAGATGTCCCAGCTCCCTCTTTGGTGCCCAAATTCGGATGTGGTTCTGGAGCACTGTGAAGAGCAGCTATGGTGGTCTCTTAGCAGTTCCTTAGGAATACCGACACTACCTAAGCAAGCTTCTGCTAGGCTTGCTCTGCATTTAAAAAAAAAAAAGGAAAAAGGTGTCAGGGGGAGGTTAGCTAGAGAAATGGTAACCCTTGATAGAATCTGCTTCCATGGCAAAACAGGCTCGCTCCCAGCTCGCTTGGAGGAGTGGAGAAGAGGATGCGAAAGCTGATGGTGTTAAATAGCCGCGTCTTATCCAGAGTATAAAAATAAGGCCCTGGAGGGAAAGTCCGTCTAGATCCTTTCTTTAGCTACCCAGTGACAACCCTTAAGCACATGTGCCCTGACAGATCCCCCTGTTCAATAAGGTGGGAAGAACCAGATGGTCTCGCTCTTCCTTCAAAGCCCTGGTTACTTCTGTCTTTTCATACAAAGAGTCACTCATATTTCCGGCTGTAGGATGAACACTGAAGATTGCAATTCTATCCGAAGGTCTTTGATGCCTTGCTAGCCTGAGAGGCCCAGTCACAAAGGTAGAGCAGGTAGCTCTCCCGCTACCCCCCTCCCCACTTCCCCGACACCCCTTGGGGACCACTGACTTTCGTACACACCCACTTGGGGATCCGTGACTTTTACAACTCCTTGGGAGAGCTTGGGAAGATAAGAAGTGATAATTGCTTTCACTTCACAGAGGTCTGGGAGGATGGTTAATTTCCCCTGCAGGGAAGGGGCTCAACATCGCTGTTTCTTTTTTTAATTCCACATCTATCTTAAGTGCTCTCATTCCCCTCAGTCAGCAAGCGGGAAGTTGGGGGCACCAATGTTAATGCCAGCCAGCCATGTAAGCAATTCAGCACTGAAACAGGAACAAAACTGTGAGAAAACCCTGAGGTGAGCGCAGGGGACACGAAAGAGGAAAGTCTGTCATCATTACTATGTACGTGACACTAGTCGACATTTTGCATATAGACCCATGTAGCCCAGAATCATACTTGCCCACGAAACAAATGGTGTATAGGTAAGGATCTGTGTTTTGCAAATGCTCTGTTGTCTTAGTCTCAAGTGAACCCAGCGCAAAGGTTTCAAGGGGATGTTTGGCCTGCAGAAAAACAGGCTGCTCAGGCCCCCAAGAAAGCTAGTTCCGCGTTGCTATAGCAACTGAAGGGCAGCCTTCTCAAATTCATCTACTGCTTCCAACAGATTGACTTCATCCAAACCCAGTCATGTTTCTCCATCATCAACACTGCAAGCTTTATTTTCATTTAAAAAAAAAAAAGCAAACACCCAACAACAACGACAAAAATGGTTTCAGTCTCAAGTTAATAGATTTATTCAGGCCTTTTTCCTAGAGCAATCCAGTGTCTTTTTACCTCTAGAAGGTGGAAGTTGTAATGGGATCCTTTAGAATCCCATAGAACTTTCACTCATAATACGGCTGGGGCTTGTGCCAGTGGGGTTTGACGGTAATTACACTTTGATGGCTGGAACATGACCTGTGAAATGAATTGCTGGTCTCCGTTTAACTCCTAATGGACAGCAGGCCGCCTCCCTGAGCATCTGAGCATAGCCCCTGCTTTCCGGCCTCTGCAGTCAGAGTTTGGCCCGATTTCTCTTGAGGGGAAATTGCAGAACCTCCTTCCAAGCAACTTGCTTTGCCCTTCTGGGCCATAGGTATCTCTACAATCCGTCTCAAAATACTCTGCGAGATGTGTGTAAATAACAGAAGCCATATTCATAGGCAGGGCCACCCTGGTGGAAAACGTGTGATCTGCCCTAGTGAGGTGAACAGAAGGTAATTCGTAGCAGCGGGAAGGGAGATTCCAAACCACTGGAAAAAAAATCTTCCTTTGCCTCAAGAAACACAGCCAATTAAGGGACAGCAGGGGGTAGGGATGTGTCAATATTTGCTGGTTTATTATTAAAGTTCATTTTTATTTTATGGAGTGGGCTGATATGTTTAGTTCTTTTTTTTTTCATTAACAAGTCTCTCACCATCCCTTCTCTATCAAGACTACAAGAGATAAATACAAGTCGTGAGAAATGTGAGTTTGGATTGGAGGCAGTTGGGTCTCATTGCATATCATGGAAATTCGTAAAGACATGAAAAGTTTCAGTTGGCTGAAGAAAAACTTACCTAGGGGAGAAAGATCTTACATCAGAGGTTCTCAACCTCCCTAATACTGTGACCCTTTAATACAGTTCCTTATGGTTGTACTGACCCTGCCCACCCAACCATAAATTTATTTTTGTTGCTTCTTTGTAACTGTAATTTTGCTATGAGTTTTGTTACTTGCTCTTAAATTGACTATGACTCATAATGTAAATATCTGATATTCAGGGTGTATGGTATTCGACTCCCGGGATAGGGCTGATTGACCCCACAGGGGTTTGCAACCCACAGATGGAGAACCACCGGCCTCCACTGTGGAAGGACCCTTGCTAGATAGTGAAGCCACCAGAAAAGCAAGACTTAAATCCCTCCTCAGCAGCCCACATTCCCAGGGGAATGCTGTGTTCTCTAGCAATATGGTACAAAGAAACCTATCCCGCTCG